AGGGCTGTCCGGAGGCACCGCTAGTTCCGACCGGTGCCCTGAAAGCTGGAGCCCAGAAAGTTGCCCCTTTCTCCGCACTGTCATCACCACATTCGCTCTTTTTAATTGCGGTAAAATGCGCCTCACACAAAACGTACCATCTTCACTGTCTGTACTGTTCAGTTCTGGGGCCCCGAGCGCACTCCCCTTGTGCAGCCGGCGCCGCGGTGCGTCTCCAGGACCTTCCATCTTCCCAGAGGACGCTCTGTCCCGGCTCCACCCTGACTCCCGGCCCCCCAGCCCCCCGGCACCTCCGTCCGCTCTGTCTCTATGCATCCGGCTGCTCCAGGTTCCTCATCTGAGTGGGACCGCACAGCACTTGCCCTCTGGGACCGGCCTGTGTCCCTCAGCGTGTCCCACAGGCTCATCCACGCTGCCGTGGGTGTCAGAACGCCCTTCCTTTTCGGGGCTGAATGCTATTCCACGGGACGGATGGGCCACATTCTTCTTATCCATTCACTCGTTGATGGGCATTTGGGCTGTTTCTGCCTTTCAGCTGTTGTGAATAGTGCTGCTTTGAACATGGGCGTGCGGGCATTTGCCCAAGGCCCTTCTTGCAGGACTTCTGGGTGTATGCCCATTGACTTTTCAGGGAAAGTGATTTTGAGCACGTTAGACTCACTCTGCAGAGCCTGCAGACGCTGCAGGCCGGACACCCTGGCTCTTGGGTTGGCTGGGAGGGGGCTGCCACACCGTGGAGGATCTGCAGCTGGCTCGGGGGCGATCCAGCCCCTTCCTGGGACTGGGGGCTCCAGATCAGAGACAGAGTTGTCTTTCCCACCCATCGAAAGCAGTGTTTCCTGTCCATGTGCGTGTGGAAATGTTTCTGTTCTTGAGAAGCAGGACTTTTGGGTCCTGGCTCCTGCCTGCAAGGCCTGAAGGTAGCAGCATCTGCCTGGTGGTCCCTGGAGAAATGACCGGGTCTGCTCCCTGGACCCCTCAAGGAGTCTGCAGCCCAGCCGAGAGATAGGCATGCACACCAACCTGGAAGCTAAGCGGACCTTCTAGGGCCTTCCAAGCGCTCCATCATCCTGACCCCCAGTGTTCAAATAGGGAGGCTGAGGCCCAGAGAGGGACATGTCCTGCTGACACCTCGCAGTGTTGGTACCCAGGCTCCTTACCCGAGCATCCGAGACTGTGTCGCCCTGCTGGCCCCACCCCCGGTTTTGTTACCACAGCCTCCTCTTCCAGAACCTCCCCACCGGGGACACATCCCGTGTGAGCCTGCACTCTGCCCTCCCGGCTGATGCCCAGCCTCCCTGATTGGACCCATCCCGGGAGCTCTGAAGGCCGGGACGGGGTGGTGTTCTGGCCTGGCGTAGTGAGGGCCGGACCCTGGAGCGGGGTGACTGGGAGCAGCCCGGTCTCATGCTCATAACGCGCAAAGCTCTCGCGTCATCGGCAGGATGCGTGCACCTGCATCACGCTCCGGGGCTGTACTCAAGACTCCACGTGAGGATGTAGCTCTGCTTATCATGCATCCGAGGGCAGGGCCAGGATCAAAGTCCCAGCCGGGGAAACTGCTCCAAAGTCCCGGGCCAGGGAAACCCCGAGCACTTCCTCAAAACCAGGCAAAGTTCTGGGCATTTTTCAAACATGATCTTGTTTACGGCACAACAACCACAACAGAGCCACAGAAGTAGAGGGTATGTTCTATTACTACCCCAGGAGCCCGAGGTGTGGAGATCGGAGGGATGCCTGGCGACCCTGCCCCACACACAGGCCCTCGGCCCTGGAGCTGTGCGTGCTCCTGCTTGAGGGCCTGATTCTGAGCTTCCCTTGGCTTTGCCAAGACCACCCCCACGGGGCAGGTGGTGAGCGCCACCCCCACAGTGGTGATAAAGCCAGCCTCCCCCTCCCCAGATGCTTCCTGTGAGCCCCCACTCGGGCCAGCAGGGAAAGCTACACGCGCTTGACTCAGTTCATCCGCACAACTATCGCTGGTGAGGAGCCCGAGACCCAGAGAGGTTGTGGACTTGCACTAAGCATGTAGCTCAGAAGAAGCAAAATTGGAATTTGAACCCTGGCTGGTCCGCCAGCAAAGCTCATGTTCTCGACATGTCTCCAGACTGGCTTTTTCTTGGTTTGCTTTAGCTCTTCTAAAAAGTCGAGGTGAAATTCACATAACGTAAGGTTTTAAACATTTCAGAGCATATAACCCAGTGGCATTTGGTACTTTCACAGTGTTGTGACATCATCACCTCTATCCAGTTCCAAAACATCCCATCGCCCCAGGGGAGACCCCGAACCCATGGAGCATTTCCTGCTCCTCCCAGCCCCTGGCAACCATGAGTCTGCTTTCTGTTTTGATGGACTTAACTATCTGGGATATTTTGTATAAATGGAATCATACAGTGTGTGGCCCCTTGCGTGTGACTTCTGTCACTTAGCACGATGTTTCGAGCGTGTGGTAGCATGGATCAGGACCCCATCCCTTTTTGTGCCTGGATAGTATTCCGCTGCACGCACAACCCACATTTGCTTTGCCTGTTTTTTGCCTGTTTTTTGGTGGGCAGCAAAGTTTATTGAGCAATAGTAAAGTTTACTGAATGATAGAGTACGAAACTCCCGAAGAGGGAAGGGACCCGAGAAGGCTACCCTGCTTTGCCTGTTTATCAGTTGACGGGCTTTTGGGCTGTTTCCACCTTCGGGCGATGGCAAATAGTGCTTCTATGGACATTTGCGGGCAAGTATTTGCTTGAGTCCCTGTTTTCAACCCTTCTGGGTATACACCCAGGAGTGGAATTGCTGGTCGTGGTTTAATTCTAAGTTTGACCTTTTGGAGAACCACTACACTGTTTTCCACAGATGCCGAACCCTTTTCCGTTCCCACCAGCAAAGTATGAGGGTTTCAATTTCTCCACACATCCTCACCAAACTTGTTATTATTTTTTTTAATGAAAACAATTTTAATTCTAGTCATCTTAGTGCATATGAACTGGTTTCTCATTGTGTTATTTTTTTAAGAGGCAAAGCATCTTCTGTCACACTATTCCAGTAAGAACAGAGGTAAAGCCAACACAGAGCCCACTGGGTAGCTGCTCAAAGAACATCCATCTTCATTGTGGTTTTGATCCGCCTTTCCTTAGTGACTAGTGATAGTGAACATCTCTTCACGTGCATGTCGGCCGTTTGGACATCTTTGCAGAAATATCTATTCAAGTCTGCTGCCTGTTTTTAATTGGGTTGTTTGTCATTTTGTGCTTTTGTGTTTTTTATTTTGAAATAATTTTCAACTTACAAAAAAATTATAATATGGTTCGGAGAGAAACCCACACAATCTTTACCCAAACTCATCTACTCTTCACGTCTTGCCCCATTTGTTCTCGTACTATCCCTACTTTTTCCCACCCACACAATCTTTACCCAAGCTCATCTACTCTTCACGTCTTGCCCCATTTGCTCTCGTGCTAGCTCTACTTTTTTTTTCCATGAACCACTTGAGGGTCAGTTGCACATTCGGTGGTCTGTTACCCTTAAATACTTCAGTATAAGGGCTTCATCTACGCAACCACAGTACCATCATCAACTTCAGTACGATCGATGCTGGTGTATGTCTTCCTGGTCTACAGTCTGCATTCCAATCTTATCAGTTGATCCAATAACACGCATTTCCCTCCAGTCTGGGGTCCATGTTGCACTAAATTATCACAGCTCTTCCATCTCCTTTACTCTGAAATAATCCCTCGGTCTTCCTTAGTCTTTTATGACTTTGACATTTTTGCATAATACAGTTCCTTTAAGGGGCATCTGGGTGGTTTAGTTGGTTAAGTGTCCAACTCTTGACTTCAGCTCAGGTCATGATCTCAGGGTCATGGGATCGAGTCCCTCGTAGGGCTCCATGCTCAGCTGCGAGTCTGCTTGGGATTCTCTCTCCCTTTGCTCCTCCCCACCATGTGCACACTCTCTCTCAAGTAAATAAATAAATCTTAAAAAATAAATACAGTACCTTTTAAAAAGATAGTGTTCCATACTCTTACTGTGCAATCTAGCAATTGCAATCCTTGGTGTTTACTCAAGGGAGTTGAAACTTGAGTGCACAGAGCAACTCACACACAGATGATTCTGACAGCTTCATATATAATCGCTAAAATTTGCAATCAACCAACATGTGCTTCAGTAGATGAATGGATAAATAAAGTGTGGTCCAGACAATGGAGTATTTTTCAGCATGAAAAAGAATGACTTACCAAGCCATGAAAAGACATGGGAGCACCTTAAATGTATATTGCTGAGTGAAGAAGCCAGTCTGAAAAGGCTCCATACTGTGTGGTTCTGACTCTACGGCTTTCTGGAAAAGGCGTAACTATGGAGATGGTAAAAACAGTGATTGCCAGGGGTGGGCAGGGAGGCAGGCAGCTCACAGAGGACTTTCAAGGCCGCGAAACTTCCCTGCGTGATACCATTAAGGTGGACACCCACCACGCACTTGTCTGAACCCCAGAACGTGCAACATCAAGGGTGAACCCTAACGTAAGCGACAGACTGGGTGACAACAATGTGTGGGTGTAGGGTCATCAGTCATCAGAAACGTCCCCCTCTGGTGGGGGTGTTGATAATGGGGGAGGCTGTGGGGGGGGCAGAGGATGTACAGAAAATCAATCTTTTGCTCAATTTTGCTGTAAACCTAAAACTTCTCTAGAACATAGTCTATTAAAAAAAAAAAAACAGTGTCCTTCAATTTGGGTGTGTCTGATGCTTCCTCGTTAGATTCGGGCCGTGCATTCCTGATTGGAACCCTGCCTAGGTGACATGTGGCCGGCTCAGGGCCTCCGGGGGGGGGACACACACACACAATGCCCTCTGCTCTTGGCGGTGGTGTTACTTTAATCCTTGTTCTAGACATTGCCTGATTCTTCTACTGTATGGTTACTCCCCCCCCCGCCCCCGCTAATAATAAACATTCTGTAAAGAGACACTTTGAGACTGTGCCAATATCTTGCCCCTCCCCCTGGATTTCGAGTCCGTTGTCCTTCCGGGGGCAGCCCCTCCGTCACCTCTGCCTCCCCAGGTGGGGCACCGGAGTGGGAAAGGTGCTGACCTCGCTCACAGTTGGGTGCTGCTCTCCCGGCCAGCACCCAGCCTTCCCCATCTGGCCCGGCTCACGTCCTGCACTCACAGCCCATCTCTTGTGCGGGCAGCCAGACCCTCTTTTGCAGAGCAGGGCTCCGGAGACTCATCTCATTTCCCGTCGCGTTAAGCTTCTCTTCCTCGTTGCAGCCGCCGAAGCTGCAGGCGAGGTCAAGGGGACCATCATGTCCTGTCACCCGGGGGAGGCCCCCAGCGGACTTCAGAGCCTGGGGTGGTGAAACCTTGAGGGCCAGCCTGCGGTGGGCTCAGGAGGAACCTGCGATAAGATGTGCAGCAGTTAGGGCAGCTACTTTGAGGTCGGGGGGCCGGGAACCCACAGGAAGTGACTCGGTGCAGAGCTGATGTGCCTCTGTCCCGGCAGCCATCCTGGGACAGGAGCTCGGGCTGGTGAGGCTGGGGCCATGTCGGCGGAGTGCTGGGAGCCCGGGCCGGGGGGGCACCCTTGGGCCTCGGGCGCAGGTTTGTGCCCCCCTGGGACCGCGTCCGCCCCCTGGAACCTGCCCCGCTGGTGGGCTTGGCTGGCCGCCGCGGTGCTCTGCTACATCAACCTCCTGAACTACATGAACTGGTTCATCATTGCAGGTGAGGAGGCGACGGCGGGCGGCGTCCTGGGAAGCACCTGCTTGCCACTCACTCATGGTCGCCCTGCCACCAGCCAGCACGGTGCATCCACGGTGCCCTCCATCCTGCAAACTGTCTCCTTGTGGAGTACATCCCTGCCGTTCTCCCTGCTGGAGGGAGTTTCAGCCAAGCCCGGGGGGCGGGGAGGCATCGCGTTCCCAATCCAGCCCCAACCTAGGCCTGTGCACACAGGTGTCGGTGCGTGGTGGTGGGGGCGGGGGGCGAGGGCTGCAGGGAGGGCCTTCAGGCGAAGGCCTGGAGGTTCTGGGTGGAATGCTGAGTGAGGTTGTGGAGGGCAGGGCAGCCGGGCCCAGAAATCGCTGGCTGGGTGCTTCTGGGACAGTGGGCTGTGTGCAAGCCTTGCACATTTTGACTTCCTTCCTGGAGGCCCCAGGGCTCAACCTGCTCTTCTCGTTACTCACACATTCCCTTAACTCATTCATTCCTTTATTTGTTCCAGATTTAACTCTCTTTTCTCTCTTCATCACTGATACATTCAAGACTGACTGACTGAACGTGAACTATGGGGCTTGGAGACCCAGGGAGGGTCTGTCTGGTGGTTCCGAAGCTCAGGAATGCCCATGTCGTGGGGCAGAGGGAAGCCCAGGCCAGGCTGGGGTGGGGGTCAGGGGGCACGGCAGCAACCCTGAGGCCAGGACCCTGGTGCACCAGAGACGGGCTCAGCCCACCAGGCAGCGGCTGTGCGGTGAACAGGATCCGATCTGCAGACGCGTGCAGACGCGAGTCCATCTCTGGGGAGCTCGGAGGGCACACACAGACCAGAGCGGGCTGGACGTTCGCGGGGCGGCCCCAGGACGGCGACTGAGGGTTCTGGCCGAACTCAGAAGAGGGGACATTTGGGTTGGGTCTTGAAGCTGAGAAAGTTGGCGAGGCAGGACATAGAGTGAGCTGAGGGTGTTGGGTGAGGGGTCGGTGTGGGCACACGGAGTGGGGGTGTGTGCTCTGGGCAGAGGTGACCAGAGGTGGGACAGCAGGGAACTCTTCTAAAAGGGTCTTTGGGGCCAGATCACAGGCTCTGTGTTTGCCAGGCTGGGAGCTTGGGCTTTCTGTTGGGGCAATATGGAGCCACAGACAATTTTTGGGGTGGGGGGACTAGAATGAGAGGGGTGCAGACAGAACAAGACGCGGGGCATCCAGTTCCGGGGCTACTGCTCTGTAGTAGGTGGAGGCCCAAGAGGGTGTGCGGGTGTGTGGGCCGAGGGCCGGAGCTGAGTGGGGAAGAGGTAGAGAAGCAGGGTGTGTGTGGGGTGGGGAATGCCTAGAGCCCTGCAGGCTGGGGAGGCCCCGAGTCCGGCCAGCAGAGGCCCTTCCCTGTTGGGACTTCCTCTGGCTGGGTGGAAACAAGGCCGAGGCTGCTGGCTTGGATGAAGGAGGCTGGAAGAAGTGAAACCACACAGAGTGAGCGGCAGGGACGGCTGGGGGGGCAGGTGGTTTTCACATGCTCTTGTGGGAAGTGGCTCTGTGGGGGCAGATGACGGGGTGGGGGGGGAGGCGGGGTCCACTCAAGGCCCCAGAGGGCTGGGAGGAGCCCAGGAGCAGATAAAACCAGGGGCAAATCCTCACTGCTGAGGATGAAGGATGAGTGTGATCCTACAGAATTTTTAACTCTTTGCTTTGCTTATTAGTGTTTCTGTTTTTTCTCTCCAATGAATACGTCTTATTCGTGTAATTAAAAGTATTAAAAAGGAAGGAAAGACATACAGGCTGGTATGGTTGCATGTTGTGGTATTCGGGCCCAAAGCCAATGTCTGAACAAAATTCTCATACGGGGCTTCTCTGCTTCTTGGGCCTTCCTCTGCCTGCTGGCGGGTCTCAGAGGGGTGGGAGGGGGCTGCTCCCCCAGCTCTGAGGGGGACACCTGCAGGGCCCAGCTCAGGGGCTGGGCCCTCCGCCGGCTCATAACTGAATGACAGCGATGATTGCTCTTCTTCCTAATGATGGGGCCTGAGCCTCCCAGCTCAGATAAGCAGGTGCCTCCACTCCGACTAACCCTTGCTGAAGCACTGCCAAAGGCTGAGGGGATTTCGGGGAATAGGGCCTGTTTCCTCTCTCTGTGTTGGGCTGAGTGCCCACTGCATTGGCCTGTGGCCCAGGGAGACCTTGGAGGGGCTCCCGAGGCCCAGCTGGCGTGGAGAAAGAGCCTGCCCCCCTCAGGGAGTTGGGACCCCAGTGGGTCCTTCTCTGAAGCTCTCACGGGCACCATCTGTCTGCTCATGCCTCTGGAAGAACATGCTTGCGTGTGCGCATGTGCAGCCCAGGGCATGTGTGTCTTTGTATGTCCGTGCTCACACATGTATGTACATCCACGAATGTCTGGAGCTGGTACCTGAGCAGGGCTGCAGCGCTGCATAGTCATTAACACTGTAGTCTAAGCGAGCTGCGCACCGTGTAGCAACTCGGAGCTGCCGGTCGCTCTGATCAGGATGTGTACGGCAACCCTGCACACGTGTGTATGCGAGCAGGCCTGCGGCGTGCAGACTCCGTGGGCGTGTGTGTGGGTCCGCGCCTCTGCGGGCACATTTCTCTGGGCATGTCCGTTTGCACGTATGGATGCGGATCTGCACATCTGTGCATCTGTGTCCCGGGTGGATGCTTGTGCATGAACACGGGCGTACGTTTGGGCCTCTGGGATACGTGTTCCCGTGTGTGTTGATGTGTACCCGTCTCTCTGTGCGCGTGTGGGCTTGCATATGCGTGGCCTGGCAGAGAGGGGACGAGAGCAGTGGGCCCCGAGCCACACTCTGTGCTGCGCTGGTCAGCTGGGGCCCTATCCCGCAGGCGGGGGCAGCTGCCCTTAGAGGCCCAGGAGGCCACTTCCCATGTCCTGAGTGCTGTCCATCTGTCCACAGGGATGCTGCTGGACATACAGAACTTTTTTCAGATCAGTGATAGCAGTGCTGGTTTGCTTCAGACAGGTAAGGAGCGAGTCCCTGCTCTGGAGCTGGGGCCCAGGGCCTGTGCTGGGGCAGGGGGTCAGGCTGAGCCCTGCCGCGTCCCTGCGAGGGCCAGTGTGGGTGGGAGGAGGGGAGAATCTGGGCCGAGCCCTGGTGCCTGAGCAGCCGTTTCGGGTTTGAGCGCAGGTGCTGCGAAGGAGCAGGGGGTGGGGCTAGGGAGGCTCCTGAGCTTCAGATCGTGATGAGTGGTCACCTGTCCCTCCCCGGCTCAGCTGGGTGCCTGATGCTGGCTGGGGCTGGGGAGTCCTGCCGTGGGCTTTCCCTGAAAAATCTGGCCCTCAGAACACAGACAGACAGACGAGATCTGTACTTGCCACATGGGTTCATACGGGGTCTGGGCCCACAGGGCCGGCAGTCAGTCCAGGGGTGGGAGCAGCCACACCTCCAAGGTCACACACACACACACACGCGTGCATGCACTCTCACGGCATGGGGTACACACCCAACATGTAACTAGCACATGCGCGGCTCCTCCCTGTGGGCCCCGTCCCCTAACAGTCTGCTACCCCAACATCTCAGAACAAGTTTCTGCGGGGACCCCTAGGGATACACAAAAACTTTCTAGGGACCACATGAGCAGACTTTTGAGAGAATCCACTTACAGACCCTCAAGGCTGTGTTTTTCTTTCCTAAAATGGACCTGCTTGAGAAAAAGTCTCTGTTCTTCCTCCCTGCCTCCCCTTCAGGAAGGAAAACGTCTGTCTTCCCTATTCTGAGTTTACCTTTGGTGCCCTGCCCTGGGGTGGGAAAGCCTCCCGGGTGCCAGACAGAGGGGACCCCACAGATGCTTGGCTTCTGCGGGGGAGGCCGTGCAAACCAGGCAGAGAGAATGACGCAGAAACTTGGGATGTTTCCTCCAGGCCACAAGCCCATGGCAAAGTGTCAAGCCTTATCTGGCTGTCCTGCTGGTGTGACAGTCTACTATTTATCTACGATTTAGAATTCAGAAGTGAGATGTTGTGTCACGGATGGGTGTCAACACATTCATTTCAATTAGAAAAAATGAAGCCAACATTTTAACATCTTTCTTACAGGCAGTCAGTCCGATTTGTTGGATTGATTTGGCAAATAAGGACTGGTTTTACTTTTTAGAGCAAATGTCCGTAGATGGCAGACATTTCCCATCAATTGGATGAATGTGATCTGCAGCCCCAAGTATTTGGATGAAAATATAGTTAAAAAATATAATAATGATGGAAATCACATCCTTTGCAATTATTTAAACTTACGATGAAAACGTTTTAAATGTCGGCTGAAAACACGTGAAGGGTACATGGGTTGATAAGCGTCTTAGAGCACTGGGGCAAAGAGCCTGCAGACCTCTGCTTTAGACCACGTGTCTTTTCCAACCGCTCTTGTCTCGAGGCGGAGGCCAGCAGCGGCTGCTGACCTTCGAGGAGCCAAAGTGAGACCCTCTGGGCTCAATCCCCACAACCTTCTAGATTAAACAGATAATGGTGGTTGAGTCACGATCTGCCTTCCCTGGTCCTCACCTTGGTGAGCAGGATTATTACTACAAGGCCTCCATAAGTGAGCTGCCATGGAGAGAGAAGCGTGTGCACGTGTGTGCGTGTCCCAGGGCTGTGCACGGTGCGTGAAGCAGCCCAGAGAGGTGTGTGGGGGGTGCCAGGGGTTGGAGGCCTGACGACCAGGCTCTCTCTCTCCAGTGACCTCAGGTGAATCTTCACCTTCCCGGGTGGTGGTGAAATGGCCCCAAACCCCACCCTGCTGTTTGTCCACAGGGCTCAGAGTGGAAGAAGGCCCTGTTTCAAGTGCCCTGTAATATCAACTCATTTACCCTTCACAACAACCCCACAGGGCAGGGATTATTATTATTATTATTGTGCCCATTTCCCCCATGACAAACCTGGGGCACAGAGAGGCTATGGGCTTGCTGAAGGTCACACAGCTGGGATTTGAATCCGGGCAGCCATCTGTAGAGTCCTCCTCTTCACGCCCTGCTCCTTCATTCCTTCCCCTTTGTCTCCGAAGTCATCTGAATCTGGAGCTGCCAGGAGCAGAGGAATGCACTAGCATGAGTGTGCCTCCCCCCTGGGGGCAGGCTTCTCCATCTCAAGGCATCTGCGGGGTGAAATTGTTTATATCCTATAAGGGATCCCTGCCCCAAATCTCATAAAAGGATTAGAAGATGTAGGGAAATATTTTTATAACCTTGGGGTAGAGAAGATATGCCTTAAGAAGACAAGAAACAATCCTGGCAGGAGGAAGATTGATACATTTGAGTACAAGAAAGCTAAACTCTTCTGTATGATGGTGGCTGAAACTATAAACGCAGTTAGTAACAACAATGAATAACATTTATGAGGCATTTACATAAAGGTAGGCACTGCCTTTTATATGCTTTATTTCATTTAAAATCTCCATAACCTTCTGTGGGAGGCACAATTACTGTCTCATATCATTGATTCGAGGGGAACAGAAGAGTTAAGGAATTTGCTCAACGTCACACAGCTAGGCAGTCTTTGGTTCAGGATGTGAGCCCAGGTAGTTTAGCCCCAGAATTTGCATTGTAAATCCTTAAAACAAATATAAAGGACTGGGAGACATGATTTGCAAACCACAGGGAGCCCCATAGAAAAATGGGCAGAGGACGTGAGCACAGGAAGCTGCTCAGACTCACTGGACATAAGGACGATGCAGATTAAAACATCAGCGAGACACCGTCTGCTTTTCAACCGTTAAATGAACAAAAACAATATGATTGATCCTATAAATGTCAGCAAGGGAGCATGAACTTCTGTGCCGGTGTAAATGGATACAGCCTTTTTGGAGGCCTATTTTGGCAGTAGCTATTAAAATTCTAAATACCACTGACACCAAAGACCATTCTCTGTGGAGCATTAGGTCGAACCATATTAAATTGCCGTTTTTTTGTAGGTCAAAACTGGCCTAATTTCTGCAACTGCATACGGCTCAGCCTAATACTAGAGCAGGTCGGGGGGAGTGGGAGGGGCTGGGAGGGGCTGGAACCTGAGCTGGGACGAGTCTGGACGCTCATTAGGCTCGGGCCAGGTCAATCATCTGCGCTCAGCGAATGGAGGCCCAGGTGTGGGGCGGGGCCTCCGCTGGAGGCGGGTCCAGGCCGCCTCGCTCCACCTGCGGAGGGTGGAGGCGGTTTGCAGCGGCGAGGGTACCTATGCGCAGGGCAGAGTCGTGCAAAAGCGTGGCCGTTTCTTTGTCCTCGCAGAGCAGCAAATGTGTTCACTAATCCAGTCGCCAATTCAGAAGGGTTTACTTTAAAAAATGGTACAAATACAACCGACAGTGTCAGGGGAATGGTCTACCTACCTCGGAAAACCAGGGCTTTTCCAGCCTCCGGGAGCGACCGCTCCTTCTAGACCCTGCTGGTCTGCAGAGCAGGCCCGGGCAGACCTCCCTCGCCTCCCGCCACCCCGCCCCCAGCAGGGGTGTGAGAGCAAAGTCAGACCAGCCTCGCCAGGCGCGAGGAGGGGGGGGAGTTGTGCAAAGACAGGGTCCTGGTGGGGAGCACTGGGGGCCCCCTGTGCTGCTCTAGGACAGGCTCCACCTTCACTTGGGGCTCAGCCTCCCAGGCGCTTGGGGGGCTGCTCGGAGGGGTGCACGGTGAGCGAGCCCGGCCCCTCAGCTCCTCCTCCAGTGCCCCTGACTCTGGGCGTTGGGTTATGTTAGGCGGGGATGGCGGCTTCACCGTATCCTTTCCTCCTCCTGGCCCCCACCCACTGCCGCTGCCAGCTTGTGGCATCTGAGCCAGGTCCCTTCTGGGGGCCTGCGGGCCCGTCCGCCTACCCGCCACAGTGGGGGACGCATGTGACCCCTGCCTGTGCCCCCAGTCTTCATCTGCAGCCTGCTGCTGTCTGCACCTGTGTTCGGCTACCTGGGCGACCGGCATGGCCGCAAAGCCACTCTGAGTGTTGGGATCCTGCTCTGGTCGGGGGCAGGCCTCTCCAGCTCCTTCATCTCCCCCCAGGTAGGTCCCCTCACCCCTGCAAGGCCCCCGGGGTCCTGCCCCCACCTGCTTCCTCCCTTGGAAAGCGGATGGGCCTGCCTCCATACATTCCGGGCTTCCGGCTCGCTGCAGGGTGCCTTCCAGGGCCTAGAGAGCGCACCTCCTTGGATGCTCTCAACGGGACCCTTCCTCTCCTGCACCTCCCACTGCTGCCTGTGACCGCTTCTGTCTGGGGAACCCACCTGCCTGGCAAAGGTGGAGCCCAGAAAAAGGCTTCCTCTGGGCCTGGGGCCCCTGGGAGCAGGGGCCACCCGTGTGATGCGGGGGGGGGGGTCCTGGGCTGGGAGGCCAGCCAGGGGTCTTTAGCCCCATCCCCACCTCCTCCCCCGGGGGCACGTGTCATCACTCCGGTCCCTTGCCCTGTGGGTGATCCCGGACTCACTGGCGTCTTGTGTCAGCATTCCTGGCTCTTCTTCCTGTCCCGGGGAGTCGTGGGCATAGGCTCGGCCAGCTACTCCACCATCGCGCCCACCGTCCTGGACGACCTCTTTGTGAGGGACCAACGGACCCGAGTGCTGGCCATCTTCTACATCTTCATCCCTATTGGAAGGTTGGTACCACCCAGGACCCACTTCCCTAAGTGGCGGACTGAGGCCCACAGGAGCCAGAACAGAAGCTGGGCTGGGGATGGGATTTGAATCCCAGCCCGCCTCCTTCCCTGCCGGGTCCATTTACCCCTCTGGGCCTCAGTTTCCTTGTCTGTACAGGGAGGCGAGAACACTGGCCAGTGGGCTGTGTTAGGGTTAATACAGGTGCTCCCTCTACCCTAGGACACTCAGGAAGGCCTGCTTGGGGAGCGTGTGGGGCTGGGCCAGGCATCCCCCGGGGGGGTGTGTGGGTAGGTCAGAGTGGGATTTGCAATCCAACCTCTGAGCTCTGATCCAGCTTTCCTGGAAGTGCCTGAGTCAGGCAGAGCTGAGCCGTGGGTCCTCAGGTAGGGCGGCACTGGGCAGTGGTGCAGGGGACGGGCCTGGAGCCAGAGGTCACCAGTGACCGGACCAAGGGCAGTGGACATCTGGGCCTCACGTGGCTCACTTTTTCCGTGGCAGGGCTGTGAGTAGCAGGAAGCCAGCTCCTTGGGGTGGGGTGCCCAGCACAGGCTGGCTTGGCAGCCTTGGACCTGCCCCCCACCCTCACTGCCCATCCCCCTTGGCCCTCTGTTGCAGCGGTCTGGGCTACGTGCTGGGGTCGGCCGTGTTGCAGCTAACTGGGAACTGGCGTTTGGCCTTGCGAGTGAGTCCAGCCTCCTCTTCTTCCCTCCGATCCCCCTGGGCCGGCAGGGACTTTCCAGCCTCCAGTGGCCTTAGCCACTTGGCACGGTCACTGGCGCCATGGGGGGAGTCAGACATTGGCAGCTGAGAAATTGGATGGAATACGACTGTGGAGGTCACAGCCCTGGGTTCAGATGCTGGCTGCTGGGTTTGCTAGCGGGGTGAGCTCAAGCCAGGGACTTGTAACGTGGGTGGGGTGGTCCGGCTGCATCATGGAATCTCGGGGAGGGACAGACGAGGGTGGGAGCAGCCCAGGGCAGGACGGGCCTGGCGGGTAGAGGTGGTGAGTCCTCCTGGTCGGACTCATGGGCCCCAAGGGAGTAGTCTGCTGCACACATTAAAGGAAGTCCCAAGGGGACCCTACTCCCCAGAGAGGCTGTAGTCCTAGGTGTGAGGCACAGCCAAGAAATGAGCCCCCTGCCCCACCCCCAGGGCACAGAGCCTCCCAGACACTGGGCCACATGGCTCGTCACCGGCAGGATCTCCGGGGTCCAGGGCATGCATGTGTGGTCCTGAGCTTCCTGGGCTCTCCCATGCCCAGGTCATGCCTTGCCTGGAAGCCGTGGCCTTGATCCTGCTTATCGCGCTGGTTCCAGACCCGCCTCGGGGAGCTGCTGAGAAGCAGGAAGAGGTGGCCGTGGGGGACCCGAGGAGCAGCTGGTGTGAGGATGTCAGGTACCTGGGGAGAAAGTGAGTGTCCCTGCTCCTCCCTGCATATCCCTGAGAACCCCCGTCTGCCCCAGCAGCCCTGCCCTGCCTCTCTCCGCCTCCAGGGAGCCCCAATGTTCAGTCTTCTTCCTCCTCTGAGCTCCCACTCACCAACTGAGGTGCCCCTCCCTCACTTGGAGGCCCCCTTCTCGCTTTGCCATGCGACAGGATGGGGCTGGGAGGGAGGGAAGGGGGAGGCAGTGTGATCTTTGACTCTGGCTTGGCCACTGCCTTATCCCCAAGTGACCTGAGACTTGGAACTGTACTCCCCTCATTTATTCAATGGACGTAATTCTCCCAGGGTTGCCGGGAGGATGCTGGGAGTTAATCACTCACCTCTGCAAGCCTGTGGGAGTGCGTCCATCCTCTGTCCCAGGCATGGGTGTGGGGGCAGACAGGAGTCAACTGCACTCCCAGGCCTCATGATTTACTGGAATGTGGGGCGCGGACGGGACCCAGCTCTCTTTGATACAGAGCCATGCCCGGTGGAGGGCACTTGGAGGAAGGTGGGGGCAGCGGGGACAGTGCCCTGGAGAATGTGCTGTTGGCTTTGGGCCTTCTGGGATGGGGAGAGCTGGCCCTGCAGAGAGGAGGGAGGAAGGCCCAGCGAGAAGGAAAGTGTGGAGGGGGTTGTGCAGGGCTCTTAGGCAATGTTGGGGAGGATCCAGAGCCTGGAGCCCTCCAAGCGCCTGGGTGACCAGAGTTTCCAGGCGTGGGGGCAGGGCCTGACAGGAGCCACTGGGCCCTGCAACCCCAGCCCTCTCCCGGGGGTCTCAGCCAGGACACTTTCTCTTGCAGCTGGAGTTTTGTGTGGTCGACCCTTGGGGTGACTGCCATAGCCTTTGTGACTGGAGCGCTGGGCTTCTGGGCCCCCAGGTTTCTGCTCGAGGCCCATGTAGTGCATGGGCTGCAGCTTCCCTGCCTCGAGGATCTGTGCAACAACCAGGACAGGTGAGGGGCCTCCGGGAGGCGTGGGCCCCTGGCCCAGGTCAGGGGGCTCTTGGTAGGCAAGTGCTCAGGCGGTTCTGAGCCCCAGAGCTCAGTGTCTCAGTGAAGAACCCAGGACTTGGGACCTAGGCAGCCCAGCAGGCCAGGATCCAGCTCTGGCTGAGCTCCTGGGGCTCTGGGTGGCCACAGGCCAGCAGCCTCATCTCCTCTGGGCCAGTTTCCCCACTCTTGGGCTGCTGTGGGGGTCCGGAAGGCACTTGGTAGAGGGGTGAGCCTTCTCTGGGGCCTGTGGGGCCTGTGGGGTAATGGGACCTGCAGCGTGAGGCCATTTTACAGATGGCAAACTGAGGCACTGGGATGTCTCGTCACTTATGGGGCTCAGGCAGTTCACACCTGCACTCAAGTGTTCTCTGCCTCGTCTGGGGCACCAAGCGTCCTGGGAAAGCTGCCAGGACGTTGGGGTGGAAGATACAGCCATGCGGAGGGCAATGTCCCTCTCCCACCTCATCTGCACTGTGCCCAGGCCGACACCTCTCCAGCTCAGCCCCAGGCCCCCGTCACTCCCTTTCTCCTCCTCCTTGTCTCTGCCTTGCTCCTCAGTCCCTGCGGCCCTGCTCCCCGAGGCTCAGAGACATGGGCTGTGGTGCGTGACACCTGTGTTCCCCCCTTCTCCCTGGCCTCCCCTCTGTCTCCATCTCCCCCACTGCAGCCCAGAGGGGGCTTCACGAGATGTCCAGAATGTCCCACGCCCTCTCACTTGTCTGTGCCTCGGCCTGAGCTGGGCCTTCTGCCTGAAGCTCCCTTCCCTTTTCCATGGTTACTTCTTAAGCGATCACGTTAGTTCAGGCCCGAATGAGGAGCATTTTACCTGAAAAACCCTCTGAGGGTTTATGATAATAAACCCTATTGTTCCTGTATTATGGAATGAGGAGATGGAAGATCAGAACGGTTAGTGAGTTGTCCAAGCAACAGAGCCAGCCTCAAACCCATCTGACTCCGGAGCTGGTGCTCCCAGTGCCACATCCTGGAGCGTCTGGAGCCGCCCGGGGCTGCTGGCGACATGAACATCCGTGGCCTCCCGGTAGACAGCAGGTGCTCAGGGGAAGCATCAGGGAAGGAGTGAAGGAGGGCATCCAGTGAGATTGTGCTGTTGGTCTTGGCTCTACTCCTAGCTTGTTATCTCCCGGAGACAGAGACCAGGGTCTCAAAGTCCCACAGCAGCCCGGACACACGGGGGAGGGGGCCCCGCAGCAGCCCGGACACACGGCGGGGCACAGGACTCACGTTCTCGTTTGGCGCTCGCTGGCTCTGCATCCATGGGCAAGTCAGTTCCCCTTTCTCAGCTTCAGCCTCGTCCTCCGACCTGGCTCCTCATGGACCCCGTGTGGCCAACGACGTCCTAGGGCCCACATGGCAGGTGGCACAGACGTGGTGTTTAGAACAACAGAATTGTTCGAGGTCCCGAGGCCAGGCGTCCAGAGTGGTTTCACCAGGCCAGAGCCAAGCTCTGCCAGGCCGCACCCCCTTCAAGTCCCCAGGGGACTGTCCTCCTGCCTCGTCCCCTCTGGGTGCTGCAGGCGTGCCCTGGCTTGTGGCCGCGTCCACAGTCTCTGCAGCCATGGTCCTGTTGCCTTGTCCTCTGTGTCTCAAGTCCCCTTTGGCTTCCCTCATAGAGACGCTGGTGGCTGCCTGTAGGGCCCCTCGAATATGGACCCTTAACGTAATCCCAGTGACAAAGTCTGTTTTGCCGTAGAAGGTAACAGTCACAGGTTCCAGAGATTAGGACACAGACATCTTGGGGGGCGTTATTCAGCCTGCCACAGAGTAGATAGAAGTCCCGGTGTCGGGGTTCTGCACCCACCTCAGCTATTACTACACCCTCCGTGGTTGGGGTAAGCCCCAGAGTGAGGGTGTGGCAAGGGCAGGAAGCTCCAGGACACAGGACTCCAGCTCAGGCTCTGGGAGTTCTGGGACGGGTGCATGAGCTCGCGTGCTCACATTTATCTGTGCTGCTAGCGTGGAGTCAAGAAAGTAAGCCAAAGCCGGGGTCTGTCCTCCAGGACGTCACAGTCTGGTGAACGACCTTGGTGGTGGAAACACAGAAGGTGCTCTGGGAGCCGAAGGGAGTGAAGGAATGCGCAGAGGGGCAGGGGAAGGCATCTCCAGAGAGGGGATATTTGTGAGGGGTCTTGAAGGATGGGTAGAAGTTTGGTAGGTGGGAAAACTAGTGAAGAGTGTCCAGATGGAGGAGTGAAAGTCTGAAGTGGGGACAGAAACTCGTCTGGGGGCAGAAGAGGTTGGAGCTGGGGGACAGGGTTGAGGTCAACCAGGGTCAGACCATGAAGGGCCACGTTCATCATAGTGAGTTGGCACAAATCCGGTGGGTGTCTGAGAGCCGGCGGAGGGTTTACGGCAGGGGTCGGGTAGATCTGTATTTTAGAAAGCACCCTCAGGGGACCCGTATGGAGTCTGCTCTGGAGGGACAGCTTTCCCCGGGGGGTGTGCAGGGGGCCAAGTGCAGCTGAAGGAGGGCCTGGGAGTGCAGTTAGGAGGGGGCAGCTTGAGAGGGTGCCAAGACCACGTGGAACAGTGGGGTTCAGGAGGGCGTGGGCAAAGCTCGATAAGGGCCGGGGGATCCTAGGAGCTCAGTAAATAAATGTTCCCGTGCCTCCATTCCCATTCGTGTGGGGGCAAGAAGGCGAGGGGGTTGGGGCCAGAGTGGGACAATTGAGATTTCTGAGGGGGGCAGGTGGGATGCTGAGAGGTTGGAGAAGCTCACTGGAGGTGAGGCATGCTGGGCCGGTCACCCCCATGGCCGGTGACGTCCCCAGGATGAGGCAGGAACGGGGATGGGGGGAGGGGAGTACACGGGTCAGGAGCCTTGGTTCGGAGGGACGGGGAGGGGCTCACAGCCACATTCCCCGTAGGTACTCGGTCCTGCACAGGGGGCTGAACCCCAGGGCAGGCCTGACCCCACCCGGCTGACCTGCTCTGGGTTACCTGCTCTGTTCTTTGTCCTCAGCCTGATTTTTGGGATTCTGACTGTGGTGACTGGCATCATTGGGGTGGTCCTGGGAGCAGAGGCTTCACGGAGGTACAAGAAGGTCAACCCGCGGGCTGAGCCCCTCATCTGTGCCTGTAGCCTGCTTATTGCTGCCCCCTGCCTCTACCTGGCTCTCATCCTGGCCCCGGTCACTCTCCTGGCCTCCTATGTAAGTGAGGGCCCCTGGGGCGGTGGGGGGGGCCTCGTGTGTCGCTCCCGTTCACATGGGCTGATACTGTGCCCGGTCTCTACTTCTGTCTATCACTCCTCCCGGGGAGCATTGGGTATGCCCATTTTACAGATGCGTAAATTGAGGTTTACCAGGAGTAGCACAGCTGGGAAGGAACAGAACTGGGATTTGAGCCTGAGCCTTTCTGACTCTAGAGTGTGTCCTCTGAGCCGCTGGTTAACACTTTGGTTGGAGACAGTGGGACTCAGGCATTCCTCGAGGATGCTGTGAGCTCGAGGAGACTTAGGGTACGACGAGGGGAGTGAGGCCCAGATCGGCCACAGCCGTGCCACTGTAGAGTGCCGGTCTGACACTATCCCATATATCCTGTCACCGGGGTGGACCAGGCCAACCAGGCCACAGCATGGCCACGCCAGCCACAGGCTCACGCCTCCCAGCCTCTGCCAAGGACGCCCTTCCCTCCTGGGCATCTGAATCCTCCTGTTTCTGCAAGGCCCAGTGCAAAGGCTTCTTCTCCAAGAGCCTTTCCAGACCGTTCTGTGCTCATGCTTGGGCTCCGGCACCGTGGCGTATGGGGGGGCTGTGTGCACCCCCCCACCACGTGCCCAGCAGTGTCCCTGGCTCCCCACACCCCGGCCCCGATGGTCCCACCCAAGGGGAAGGGACCCGTGATTCTGCCCCCGCCAGACGGATTCCCCTCCCCCTCCTATGCCACCCCAAGGTCCTGGGGTCCCCCGTCACGTATACAGATGCCCCTGAGCAGGCTGGACTCAGAAGGCAAATCGCTAACGGCTTTACTAGTCTCCTACCCATGACCAGACCCCACAGATCTTCAGTTACACTAGTGAACTAAAGAAGCCTGGTCCCATTTCAACCCAACCTTTGGTTCTGCTTCCCAGTACTCTCCGTCCAGGCCCAGAACATGGCACCGGGGCAAGAGGGAGCTGCGGTTGGTTTGGTCCCGCTCGGCCCACCTCCGCTCTGTTCCCCAGGGTGGCCCTCCCTCCAGGCTGGGCGAGGACAGCCCGAGGTGGGGCAGGATTCTCTGAGTCCAGAGTCGCTTTGCTGTGGCCCAGACTCTGGCTGGCTCTGCGCTCGGGGGCGCTTTGTGGGTTTAGGAGCTCTGGTATTTGCATTGTCCGATTCTTGGTGCAGGTGACCCTGTCGCCTCCATGGCACGGCTTCCTTCTGCTCGGCTCCGCGGTGGCCCTTCCGGCTGTTCCTGCCCGGACCCTGTCACCGGTCCCCTCTAATGACCCTCGGGCCCTCCCCGTCCGTGGCGTCTGTCAGACCCCTGCATGTGCTCGGGATGGGCCTCGGCCCTCTTGTCCTCGCGCTCCCGGGTGACGTGCTGGGGTGCCCCCGCGGTGCCCTCTGGAGCGGGAAGGTCAGCATGTCGCTGGCGTCCTCAGTCTGGGGGTGGGCCGCCCGGAGCCCCTCCCCAGCGTCCGCACTCTTCAAATGAACCCTCCGCAACCTTCCCTCTACATGCCGGGGTGGGGGCGCTTCTCTCCTGAGGCCTGAGGGCGGGGCCGGTGCGTCTCTCGCGTGTCCAGCCATGGGTGGGCTCCTGCCGAAATCCCTGGAGAGCAGACAGGCCCTGCTGGCTTGCGTTCTGCGCGTGCTCCTACGTAGCCCTCACGGCACCCTCGCGGGGAAGGGCTTCTCACCCCCACTTACAGATCGGAAGACTGAGGCCCAGAGACAGCAACACAGGCAGTGGGACAGACGAAACGGAGAGTCAGCCCACAGACGCCGTACTGACCCTGTCGCCCCTGGGGGAGGAGCAGAGCCTGGTGTACATTAGGCGCTAATAAGAGCCGGGGTTCCCGCTGACATCCTGGCGGAGGGAGCGGAAGACGGAGAGGGGGCTGTGTGGGCCCGACCTTGCGGGCAGATGGAGGCCCATCACGGGCCTGTCCCTGCATCGGCTGGGGCCGTGGACCCCTGCCAGCCCTGCTTCTGCCACGGTCTTGGTTGGCTCTGGGAGGCGGCTACTTGGCTGTGTTTAGGGGACACAGCTGTCTCCCCCTCTGCAGCCGGGCGCATCTCCAGAGCTGGATGCCTCGTCTGGAAGTGACATTGCGCCTGGCTGACAAAGCCACCTGCAGAAATTCTTCTCGAGGCCTGGCCAAGGGTGAGGGGCTGCGGGGCAGGACGGTGGGCAGGCCCGGGACGCGTCCCGCCTCTGGTGCCGGGAAGCCGCTCCTTCCCGTGGCTCGTGTTCGGGCCTGGGGGGTACCGGCGGCACTGAGCCCCCAGGCCAGGCTCCAGCCTTCCGGGAGCAGCGCGGAACCTTCCAGACCTCCTGAGCAGGAGCCCACTCCGTGCTTCCGTCTGTGCCTCTGACGTCTAACCGTTGTTCGGGCTTGAGATCCAGGCCCCAGCTGTTTCCCATCTGCCCAGCTCCAGTCACAGAACCCTCCCACATCCAGGCCCACGCTCCTCTCCCAGTCCCCTCTGCCTGGCGTGGCTCAGGCCTTCTGTCTTTCTCCAGGACCCAGGCCAGGAGCCGCCTCCCGGGCTGTTCACCTTGCTGCTTACCTACCGCAGTTTCTCTTCCCCACGTGGCCGGTGACACCGTGGACCTTCCCGGGCTCCTTGGTGCCTCTGGAACCCAGTCCGGCTCCTCCTGTTGGCACTCGAAGCCCTTGGGGAACTACCCGGATGGCCCTCGCGGCCGCGTCCCCCGGGCAGGCCCCTCCTGGTTCCCTCCTCGTCCCGTCCCTCTGAGGAGCTTCCCTGACTGCTGGGCCCCACCCTCGCTCCCCTCCTGGTGCTCTCAGGCCGTCTTCCTCATGCTCTGACCACTCTCCCAGCCCAGGGGTCCAGGGCGGTTCCCATCTTCCTCAGTGCTGGGCCCGAAACTCAGTGCCAGGCATTCACATCATTCAGTCATTCAACAAACATCGAGGGCCTGCAGAGGGCCTGCTGGTTTAACTGCGGCAGGTACGGCAGTGGATGAGGACTAAGCATCTCTGTCCTTGGGGGGTTACATCCTCGCCGAGGGAGGCAGCGGGCAGGCAAGACAGGAGTGCGCTTCAGGATGTTTCGGAGGATGCAGCGCTTGGGAGTGTGTGGGGGCGGATTTGTGCAGCCGTGGGCTCCCCAGGAGGCGGTGTTGGGCGAAGACATGTGGGCGGTCCTGCAGGAGGTGCAGGAGGGCTGGTGTGGGTCGTTAGGGTCCTGGGGCAGATGCACACCTGCTGGGTCTGAGGAACCGCAAGAACCCCGTGCTTAGTGAGGAGGGACGGACGGGAGGACAGGAGGTCGGGGTCGCAGGGGGCCTGCATGCGTCGGCTGGGACCGGCTTGGGCTGAGTGAGGGGGTCTGTCGAGGGGCCCACGTGGCTTGTCCTTAACCAATCGTCCTGTTAGCCAGACTTGCATTCCTGGCGCGGACCCTGTCTTGGCCGCGCCTTCGCCACCAGAGATGCTGACGTGGGCTGTGGCGGCGACCCCACGGAACACCCTGACAAGTCCTTCTTCCTCTTTCATTTTGGGAAGAGTTTGGGAATGATTTGTGTTAATTCATCTTTAGACATTTTTAGAATTCACAGGGGAAGCCATCTGGTTCTGGGCTTTTGTTTGTGGGAAGTTTCGTGGTTACTGACTCGGTGTTTACTTGTTATAGATCAATTAAGGCTTTTTATTTCTTTTCTGTCGCTTTCGATAGTTGGCGGCTTTCTAAGAGTGTGTACCTTTGTGTAAGCGTCTGATTTGTTGCTGTACGGTTGTTCGTAGTAACCCCTTCCAGTCTCCGCGAGGTCGGCAGGCGTGCGCCTCTCCCACCCTGGTTTTAGTGACCTGTCCTTTCTTCCTGGTCGGTGTCGGTTTGCTGCCAATTTTGGCTTTATTGATTTTCTCTATTGTTCTTCGGTGATGGGCCCACGTTTAGTAGGATCAGTCTGGTTGCTGTGGACACAGGCGTGGGTGGCGCTAGGCCATTGCCCTGACCTGGATGGGGCAGCGCGTCTGCGAGGCGTGGGCCAGAGCCGCCCCACGGAGGCGGGAGGCGTGGGTGGATCACGCCTGGTGACTCCGTGTGGGGTGCGAGAGAACGCGGAGGCGCGGGGACCTCTCCGCTCGGGAGACCGGGAGAGGGCCGTGGCAGGTGCAGCGGGTTTGGAGGACGCAGTGGTGGGAGGTGCTGGTGGGGACTTAGACGTGGAGTCTGGAGCTGGGGGTCACAATGTCACCCCTGCAAACCTAACAGGTGGGGCCTGGCTGCGGCCCAGCAGGAAGCACCGTCGGCAGGTCTGGGGGACGTCCGGGGCCGATGTCAGAAAGGGTGTCCGGAGAGGGCTGAGGGATTGACTTGTGTTCCGAAGGGGAAGAGTCACTTGGGTCTCTTCCGTCCGTCCGTCCGTCTGTCTGTCCATGTACCCCTTCACTTCCCCAGATTCCAGGAACCAAACTGGTTCTTCCTGCACTGTCTCTGACCATCCGGGGGAAACGGATCTGGCTTCTCGGGAAGGCGGGCCCGTGCACGCGTGCGTGCACTGTGAGGTGAATCTATTCAGGTCGTAGATACGCGTGTGGACACGTGTGTCTCGTGTCTGTGGGCCCACGTGGTCACGCAGTATGTGGCCTGCACGTGTGTGTGAGGTGTGTAGGAGCGTGTCTGTGTGTTGTTTCACGGGTCTGTGCATGAGCGTGCACACGCGTGTGTGTCCAGGCACCAAGCGTCATGCGCACATCGTGTCGACCCACTGCTCCGTGAGGAGCGACTGGGGGCAGCGTTGTGCGCCTGCTCCCACATTTCTAGAAGTCGGGGCCGCGCTGTGCTGGATGTTTCCTGGCGGAGAGGTTCCCTGAGCTCATGAAGTCTGTTCTGGGGCCTTCCCGGGAGCCCATGCCTGGAGCCCACGTCCACAGAGAGCGTTCCATCTCGTCCCTCCCTCCGGGCCCCTTGGCAGGGGAAGCGGGCTGCTCGGCTGTTAATTAGGATCCAGACACGCACAGCGGGTCTTGGCTCAC